CAGCGCACCGGCCGGGGAGGTCCCCGCTTCCTGTGACCCACCGTAAAAAGCTGGCCCAAGCAGCAGCCTGAGCCAAGCCAAAGGGGCACACAGTTCCACGTCTGAGGCCAGCAGCTTTTGGCAGCTGTTCTGCCCCCAGGAAAGCTGCCCAGGAGCCGGCAAAGTGGGTGCTTTACAATCCCACAGTTCATGAAGACAAACCCACCATACCCCAAGTTCACTTTCTTCACACTGCCGCTCACCTGGTGCGACTCGTTTCACTAGGCCAGCCTTTACTCCACACCCCACACACATTCCCCACGTCCTCCCTGCAGCCACCCACGGCAGCACGGAGACAGCACACACACCAGCAGCCAGCAGTGAGGGTGCCGGGGCAGTCAGTGTGAACTCCCAGCCAGGCCTGAGCGCTGGCTGAATCCTGGCGGCCCCGAGGGCCTGAGCCACCACCAAACCCAAACCAAGCCTTCCGCCGCCGACTCGCAGCCACTGGGACACAGGACGGAGCACAGAGTACAACTGCCCCCACGGGTTCCGAAGCCACAAGCCTGTACCAGAGTAGCTGGCTCATCTTCCTGGTGAAGCAGCTGGGGGTTTGAATCCGTGGCCTTGTGGTGAGCAGCCTAATGCTTAAGTCGCGGTGCCACTGGGGCCCCTCCATCATGAGTTGGGCAGGATCTATTTGGAGAGCTGCTAGCCAGCTCCAGAGGCTTGTGAGTATGGAGTGACCAGGTCCTTCTCTTGGTGGGACGTGGACAGAGGGCTGCCGGGGGAGGCGCTTGCCACCAGAGGAGGAACAGCATGGTGCCGATGACACAGCAGCCACAGGGCAGGCGTGGAGGGCACCTCACAGTCCCAGAGAGAAAGCCACACTTCAAGGCAAATGAGGAGACTGGGCCAACAGCTGGGTCTAGGCTGGGGTCAGAATCCACAATGGACTGGCCCTGGTGGCGTAGTAGTGACAGTTGGGCTGCTAAACCCAAGGTCAGCAGCTCAAAACCACCAGCCGCTCTGCAGGAGAAAGACGAGGGTCTCTACTCCCGGAGAGAGCTGCAGTCTCGTAAACCCACAGGGGCAGTTCTACCCTGTCCTACAGGCTCACGAGGAGTCGGGATCCATGCGGCGGCAGTGAGCATGGTTGGGGTTTGGAGTAACAAATGAACCCTGAGAATGAGAAGCCGCGCCGCCCCAGGTGAGCTGTGAGCCAGCACGTACCTGGGCCACGTCATCACAGAGAGGGCTGTTGAAGAAGGACAGGATGACGTGGAGAATCCCCTGCCTGGCGTACAGCTCGTAGCAGTGCCTGTCTCGAATTCCCTGCCGCAGGAGGCCAAGCACCCACTCCTGCTCCGTTTTTTGCTGTAACCCAAGCAGACAGGACAGGGTTACCTGCTTTCCAGTGTTGACATGGGTTCCAGCGTGGCCCCATTTCTGATGGCTGGCTGCCATCAGGCCACTGTGCCTCCTGGGTCCCTCCGTGCGTCATAGTGAAACTGTGCACCGTAAGGTGTTCAATGGCACAGCCTTTGGAAGCAGATCGCCAAGTCTTTCTTCCGTGGGGGCTTAGGGTGGACTCAACCATCCAACATTAGTCTTGGTTGGTAGTTGAGACGGTTAATTATTTGCATCACTGGGGGGTGTGGGAAACTCCTCTATTTCTGATTTTGTTATAAAAAAATCCTCAATCTCACCTTTGGTGCAATTTTTTCTGTTAGGAATAGAGGACCAGGTCAAGGTCCAACACTGAGCTGAGCTGTATTAAGCCAAGGCAGGTGTTCCAGATAAGCCTATTTCATTGCTAGTGATGGAACACACACACACACACACACACACACACACACACACACACAAATGACATCAACCTTAGAACTTGGAAGTAGATGCGCCAAAGTCTGAGAATCTCCCTACAACTGAGAGGCTTCCATGAAAAGCATGTCACGTCTATGGGCAAGGCTGAGAGCTCGCTGGCAGGACCTGGCCTGTGCCTGATGTGCCAGGGCAGCACTGCCCCCCACAAACAGCGTCTGGCCCGCGCTCTCGAGGCCTGCCAGGCGGTGAGGGCTGTACAAGCAGTACCTCGACGTCGGAGCTGTAGAAGAACTGGTAGAAGGCGGGGACTTTGTTCATATTCAGGTCTTGATGGGATAGCAGGAACTTGCTGATCTTCAGGTACATGTGCTCCTCTGTGGACAAAGCACCAGTCAGACAGACGGGCATCCGCCAGGTTGGCAGGTGTGCAGAAACCCACAAATCCCGGTCCCTGTGGGGTCTGCACACCCATGCCCAGGGGATTCGTACTTGAGAACTGGAATACAGCTATACGCCGTAATTGGATCCTGCACTTGTGTGTGTACGAGTGCGCATCCCCTCTCTGAGGGGCCGTCTGACTGCAGAGATTCAGTCAGCAGTGGGTGCAGAGTGGCCTTGGCTCTGAGCCACCCACTGAGAGATGCCGCCACAGCAGAGGCTGCACAGGCACACACTGGGGCACCACGTGCTATGACCCAGCACAGCAAATGCAAGCAGGCTGGTGTGGGCAGACACACGCCCCCTCGGCGTCCTCCAGCACCCCGCACCCCCAGCCCGGGGGTCTGCTGTGGGACAGAGCCATGCCCAGTGGCAAGGGCAGGAGGGCGGGGCTGAGACCCAGAGCACCATGGTCTCAAGTCTCCAGCTTTTCCCAGCCCAGGTGTGTTTGAGTCTGCAGACAGTGACATGATTCCCTTTCCTCCCAAATTTCCAAGATGAAGGGAAACCTTTTAAAGAAACTGGCCTGGGAAGACGGTGGAAATCAGGATCTGAATTCTAATCACAACCCGACTGCACTCTAACTGTGGGACCCGGGAGTAACTCCTGGACTCGGGGCGGGGGGACGACTCAGTTGGAGAAGTGTTTTCCCCAGAGGTTTTCAGGTGATTTCTCACCTGAAAAATCGCCAATCTACATGGAAAGAGCCCTGTGGTCCCTGGGGCCCCGACTTTCTGTGCCCCTCCTTATTAATCAAAAGATGGCGTCATGGTGCCGGCTGCCAGAGGGCACTCCACTCCTCAACTCACAGCCAGCTGCTGTCCAGCGGGCCGGTGAGGCCACACCAGCTTGCAGACACCTCTTCAGCATGGAGCAGCGGCGGCGGGTGATAACAGAGGTGGCCGTGGTGATGGTGGCGGCGGCAGCTAACACTGACAGGTGTCCCTGGGGACAGGCTCCTGCCAGGACTATAAGCAATTCTTTTTTGGGGGATGGGGTGGGGGTGTCGGCACCATCAACCCTGTTTCGTGAGGAAACGGAGGACAGAGATGTGTCCACCCTGCGTCGCCCAGCTGACAAGGGGCAGAGCCTGCACAGACAGACAGCAGCCTGGCCCGGGTCCTGGGTTAGAGACCTCAGGCAGTTGGGATCAGACTGGATTTTCACTCCAATGCTATTTGTTGATTGTCTACGAGGAGAGATCCCTGAGTGTCTGCAGGGGTTCCAGGACCCCTATGGCCTTGCTCCTGCTACAGCCCCTCCTAAGAATGGTGGAGGATTTGCATACAGCCTCCGGTGGCCGACTTAGAAGGCTCCTCCCTTACCGACAGGACCTCACACGGAGAACATTCTCATTGCACCTTAAGATTTGAGGAACTGTTCTCGCCACCTCAGTTGCTTTTTCCTTCCCCATAGATCTTTGATCTGCAGTTAGATGCATCTGCAGATGTGGAACCAGGGGAGGCAGAGGATGTACTGTATATCCATCCCCGCCCCGCCCCCCCCCCCACCCTGACCATACACGCACCGTGTTCCGCTCTGCGCCTTCCACGAAGTCCTGGATTCCACCCACCCGTCCGCTCCATGAGCGAGTCTGCCCGGCCCCTCTAGCGCCATATCCTCTGCTGCTGGCCAGCTGGCTGGCTCCCCATCTCTGACCTTGGACACACCCCATTTCTCAGGCGCTCGTAATTCCCCCTGGAGGGCACACTTCCTCAGCGCCCATGTCCCACACGCAGCACTGCCGGCAGCGGTACCTGGCTTCAGGATCTGCAGGGCCGCCTTGGCGATGAAGAGCGTCAGGGAGAACGTGAGGCGCATGTTCTGTGAGCGGATCCCATTCCGGACGACATCCAACAGGTAGAGGAGCTGGAGACGGGGAGACACAGGGGACTGCTTCCAGACACCTGTGGTCGGCCTTGTCCTGTGCACGATGTGGCCCTGCTCGCACCCCAGGGACGGCCCTGCATGGCCGCCGCTGCCCCAAACTCACCTTCCTTCAGGAGGCAGGCGTGCACCCAGGGCAGGGGGCACCCTGCGCCAGGCCGAGGAGCCAACCTGCCCAGGGGCCTCCACCCCCACAGGCCTGGATGTCTGAGCTCAGTGTGTCTTACTGCATATCCACCCCCCTCTCCCACTCCATGCAGCAGCTCAGACCAAAGAAATGCCCAACCAGGATCACCTTTTGCTATCTACCCACCACATGGGAAGAAACCTTTCTGCTTCACCCCTGAAAGGGAACAGACCTGTTCTTCATCCGGGGTCTCCAGTGTCTGCAGACCCCATGGGGAGCCAGCGCTCTGAGCCCAGCAGGCCCCCCCATGCAGCCCGGCAGCATGTCCCTCTCTCACCTACCTACCTGAGCCTGCTCTCGGAACCGTGCCCCCTCCAGCTGCGAGTAGTAGGCTGCCAGCACATAGTAGGCCGCAGCCCGCATCTTGGGGTCGTAGCTGCTGAGGGCCGCGATGGTTAGACCCAGAGAATTCGAGTCCAAAAATTTTCGGCAATCCACCACAAATTCTAGAGGCAGTAAAACATAGGCATATTAGTTACACACACACACACACACACACACACACACACACACACACACACACACTCCCGTGGTGCTTGAACAATGTGGAGAATTAAATTGCTCTCCTTGTTTCACCAGTGATCACCCAACCTGATCCAAGAGCACGTCTTTCTCCAGCTCACCCTAACTTCTGACTTGATGGCAGTGGGTTTGGGTTTTTTTTCCACCTATACAAAAAACACTTGTGAATAGAACACATATGAGATAAAAAGAACTGCCTAAATGTTCACTATACTCTCACTAGAAATCGCCAGTCCTCGGCTGGCTGGAATGTTTCAGCAATCACTGCCACCCTCTACGACACATGGACTTTCCCTATGTCCATGAAGAGACCAGACGTCGTGTTAACGGTCCTCTCTGCCACTCTGTAGAGGGCTTGGCTTTGTAAGACTTACAGGAAAGAGCAGTCCTTAGGATGCTGAAAATATAATAGGGCACTTAAAAATAGTTATAAATGCCATTTACTTTGTTTTCGGGACCCCTAAATAGAAGCTTGGCCTTCTGACAGCAGACCTTCAGATCAAAATGGCAAAAGCGCGAGCCATGAAGGACAATAAAAACTGCCCGCTCTAGTGGGGTGCAGGGGCTGTGTGGGTGTGCTGCTGAGCACCCAGAAACTGTCCTCCAGCTTCCCCGAGGTGGGCGGGCGGACGGACGGCAGGCCGAGGCTCGGCACAGGAGCGGGTCTGTAACGCCTGTGCCCTCCACAGCTCATCCGCTGACGAGGCCCAGGTGGGCCTCCGGGGCTGGCTGCTCTGCGTCACACGCGAATGGGAGCTGAAGATCTTGGCCCAGCTGTGCCGAGGACAAGACCTCGCTGTGGAAAAGGCACTTGTCACTGCCATCCCTAACAACCTTGGCTGTCCCGCTATCTCGGCCAAGGACTCGCTGCAGGGAAAGTGTAAGGTTAAGGAAACAGGTGCCCATTCTCAGTCAAGGCTAGAAGTGGAGCCATTGAGAAGGCAGTTTCTCTGAAGACTGATTCAACGCACACACACAAGCTGTGGCCACCTCAACTGACCTCACGGTCGGCAGGCACAAACAGAGCAAATGTCTGATTTAGGATTCCAAAAAGTCTAGCACTACCGAGACAGGGTTACCGTGCAGCAAACAAGAGCACACGGTGGGACTTCAGTCACCAGGCAGCATGCGGAATCGCAGGAATAGGGCGTAGGCTGCATGCAGCCTGATACACAGAATGCACAGGGCATACCAGACCTACATTTGCCCTTTTGATTTACACTCCTGGTCAGTGGCAGTCCGGGGTTCTGACTAAGACAAGGTTCCTGGAACTGCTGGTTGTGTCCTGTTCCTTCATCTGAGGGGCAGTCCCACCCAAACTTAAGCCATACCAGAGACTCTGAGGAAGTATCCAAAAAAGCCATGCATCCATACACGTTTACTGAAAATATGGATCATGGTTACTTACCCTCCAGGGCAAAAGCAGGAGGGAAAAGAATCACAGTGCATGTTTAGGAAAATAAAGTAACATGTAACATGCCTCCTGACCTAATTCAAGTGTAATGAATCTAGCCCACACTGCCCAGGATGCTCTGCAGTCTTGGTGTTTACCACTTGGGACGAAAATACTTCCTTGTCCAGATCTCGTTCTGGATCACACAGAGCAGAATTCTAATATTTGAAAAGATATTTCATAATTCTTCAATGTTAGCTATTTCCTTATCCACTTCTGTACTTAAGTTCTTGGGGTTTTTTTTCCCCTTCCTACTTCCCTGTGAGTAATTCTCGTGTAAACCGTCTATTAGCTGTCACACATCCTATTCGGGACGGGGCCAGCACGCTCTGTCGGCTCGGCCACCAGGCGGGTAAGCAGGAACACTGGCGCTAGGTCGCGCTGGGAAACTCAGGTGGCAGACAGAGCACGGTGCTGGCATGTTTCCCGGTGTCAAGCAGCACCAGTGCGCTCACCGCTTCCCTTTTTAGAGGCTTTCTCTGCCTTGACCCCCAACAACAAAAGCCCGTAACACGGTCAAGATTTTACGAAGAGCATTCTCTTCAGATTTTACGGGTTTCCTACTAAATATTTTAGAAGGCTTTCCTTTCTGCCTCCTAAAACTTCTCCTGAGGAAAGAAAAGCAGACTAAATGGATTTGTGAATATTCACTAAAAATTACACAATGGCAAGCAAACAGTATTCTTAGACTGTGGAAATCCTACTTTCATGTCTGAAGAGAAACAGATGCTGTCAGGGGGGGGGGGCGGGGGGGTGTCTGAAGAGCATCCTGGTCCGCACAGCATTCGATGAGCCTCACTTAATATGCTGCTTGAGGCTCTCATCAGGGCAACTAAGATATGGGCTTGCCATTACTCTATCTGCCATTTGCAGGAAATGTCCCTTGCTGCCTGGCAAAGAAAACCTAGGCTTGATAACAGCATACAGTGTCAATCAAGATGAGAGCTGGAGCCAACACTAAAGACTGAGAGAAAAATATGAACATCCAGCTCGGAAAAATTGAAAATCAGCAAGAATATACAACTCAGAATGCTTTCAACCACATAAACCTACAGATCACTCAATATAAGCAAAAAATTTTCAAGTGTCTACAGAATTTTTGTTGTTCTTTCTCCCCTACCCAGTCATCTACCAAAACTCCCACTCTCAGGGAGTGTTGGTATTAAAAATATTAAAATATACCCTAATCCAAGAAAAAGCCAGGCTCAGCAGGCTCTGACTCATTCTCAAGGATAAAATCTCTCATTTTGTTATTATTTAACCATCACATAGTTCAACTTCATAGGCTGTCTTGTAAAACATCAAGAACAAGGCCATGTTCAGGTTTTAAAATTGTAAACATTTTGAAAAATCAAAGCATATTCAAACCATTATCTGTTATTTTACCAAAAGCCACTGGAAAGAACAGGTGAGCTTCACTGTCTCAAGAATTAACTGCCTCTTGATAAGAAACTGACCCTCATGCAGTCTCTGTGCTTGCGCTTGAACTGTGGACAGCAGGAACACGCGCCCACCACGGGAAGGCTGTGCTTACCTGGCCTCGTCAACTCGCTGAAGAGATGAAGCAGAAAGCAGGGGTCATAAAGGTCACTGAGGTCCACCATGCTCTGATCTTTAAATATTGATTCCTGTGCATCCTGAAATAGGCCCAGACACACAGAAATGCCGTAATCAACAGCGTAAATACAGTACCACACCAATGCTTACCCACTACTTCTACAATCTGTAGTATTTCAAATATTCAGAAGAGTATGAAAATGCGTTCTCTACGTAAAGGAACACAGCAGGCACTGGTACACACAAGGACGTGTCTGGGATTTGCTGTGAAGTATCTGGGGAGAGTAGACTCTGGGAAATACACGTGGCCAGTGCTGATCATGTTGAGACCCGGTGATGACCATATGAAGGGCTAGTCCTCGACCACGGCTGGAATTGTACACCGGAAGTTAAAGCTGCATCAAGAAAAGCAATGCCTGTGTTGAATGGCGTGATTAAGCAGAGGGTGCAATTGGAACCCTTTGGGGAAAACCCCACCCACTGCCATCGAGTCGATTCCAACTCATAGTGACGCCCCTGGAGAAGAGAGCAGAACTGCTTGCTGGGGTCTCAAGACTGTAAACCTTCATGGGAGCAGACAACCTCATCATTCTGTGGGTTTGAACCATCGACCTTGAAGGGAGCAGCCCAATGCTTTACCCCTAGCGCTACCAGGGCTTCTTTGAAGTAAAAAGAAGCAGATTCCACTCTCCACCCTGACCGTTCTGCCCTTGGCCTGAGGAGGCACGAATAGCACGTGCTGTACCTCAGGGGGCAGCAGCTTCCGGTTCTGGGGAAAATGAAGGATGGTCTTCATCATCCGGTCCCGATCCAGCAGGCGGAGGATGTCCCCGACACTCGGCTGCTGCCACAGCGACTTGCCCAGGCTCCGGCAGGTCTTGTGATGCTCCACAGCTGCTGGGCCCCACAACAGCACCCTAGAGCCAGAGGGGAAAGCTGACGGTCACGGGAACAGAACTGATGACCACGGCAATGGGCCGGACTTCTGAAGTCACAAGCAGACACCTGGGGCTGGCTCTATCCCTCCCCACACGAGCTGGGGGGCCCGGGGGTGACAGCCTCAGTGATAACGGCAGACACCCATACCTCCAAGAGGCATGTGCTGTGCCATGCGTGAATCTAAGCCCTCTGCATAGAGAGGAAGGCCTTGAGGTAGCCACTCTCGTCTCTATTACAGAACTGGGCTGGGAAGTGGCAGGGCTGAGATCCAAGCTCAGGAAGTCTGGCTCTGAAGTCATGCTAGGCCACAACTGCAGGGCCCGGACTGCTCCATGATCCTGCAGGCCACCACATGGACATGTGGCCAGGACAAAAGAGGCCTGCCTGGGATGCCAAGATGCTGCAACTTCCACCACCCATGCCACCCCACCCCAACTGCGGCCGCCCACAGAACACCCCTCGCAGGCCGCCCTCCTGTTTCTTCCTTTATGCCCTCAGCCATCATCCCCTCCCACTGCTGCCAGATGTCGTCTCAAGGCCTAGCCCGGGGAGGGCTCTGTTCCGCCTGAAATATCTGCCAGTTCTCTGCGTGCTGCCATTCTCAGGCTCTGCGCAGGGGGATGCTCTGCCCTGGTACTCGGGGCCTTGAACCACCATGGCTGGCTTTCTACTTGTTTCCTACACTCACCCTCTGACCCTTCCCTGAAGGGTCCCGACTCTCCCACCTCCAAGCCGCCCTGCATGCTGCACCTGCCACCGGTGCCCTGGGCTCCTTGGCCACACTCCCCTCCAACTCCTCCCCGTCCTTCTCCCTCATGCCCCCCCCACAACCGCCCTCCCCCCACACACACCCCCCCCACCCCACCCCCAGAAGCAGCCTTGTGCTGGAACAGCCCATTCACCCATACAGCTGAATGAGACTCCAATCCAAAGAGTGAAGTTTGTGTGAGATGCATAACCCTGAAAGGCGGAGGGGGGAAAGGGAAAGGGGATGGGGGAACGGGGACGGGGAGGGAAGGAGTTGTCTGGTTCCTCTCAATCACCCCCACAGTGCTGAGCACAGCGCCTTGTAAACAGGTAGTGCTCAACAAACACCTATTGAATGAACATTTTCTAAATACAGGCTTGTCCATACAAGTAGACAACAGTTATAGTTAAAGCAGTGAATGATCATTTAGAGCAGTGCTTCTCAACCTTCCTAATGCCGCAACCCTTTAAGACAATTCCTCATGTTGTGGGGACCCCCAACCATAACATTATGTTCATTGCTACTTCATAACTGTCATTTTGATACTGTTATGAATCGAGCGACCCCTGTGAAAGGGTCTTTCTATACTCAAAGGGGTTGCGACCCACAGGCTGAGAACTGCTGCTTTAGAGGGTGTTGACGATGGCTTCCAGGAGACAGACAGCTGACTGCTCACAGGCGAGGGACCCATCTACGGAGCGCCACTGAGCTGGCAGCACACTCCCCTAGCGCAGCCTGCCTCTTCCCTGAGGGTACCAGAGGGCCCTCACTTCAAGCTGAGGAGACATGCTGTGCTGCTCTGACTCTTGGCCCAGTGGGCCCCACTCCCTCACTGTCTCCTGGGAGCTGAAGCTAGTCACCTCGCAGCTGACTGGGTTTACACAGACCAGCCACGGGACCTTTCATCGCTGAGCTGGAGGGTGCTCACCTGCAGCAATGGATAGTTAGACAGCTCTGAAGATGTCTTTGTTTTTCACCTGTTTTTTTGGAGGGGGATTTCTGAGCGAATACAGATTGTATCCTACAAACACAACTTTGAAAAATACCTTGCAATGGGAATAGTTGTTTCTCCCCTAGAGGCATCCTAAGTGGCTTTTCTCGGCCCAGTGAGCTCGCTTCCTATGTAACACATAAAACCCTTCCTTTGTATTTACACTGGGCCTGATGGCATTAGGGTGCCGATCTGAAAGACCAGCCTGGGCAGCCAGAGGACAATCCAAAAATGCTTTCCACAAGGTGCTCATTCGATCAAGCCTCCTTTAACCCTGTCACCCAGAGAGAGGGGACAGTTTCAGATCTGGGGCAGTGCCCTCAGAAAAGGGCATCAGCCCCAACTCTTTGGAGTCCAGGGTGCAGCCTGGGAGAACCCAGGGGAGAGCAAGCCAAGGAGAAAGACAGACTGCCTCACAAGCAAGGTGAGGAAGGAGAATTCAATAACTAATGTTCAGTCAGCATGCCTCATTGGTCTCCCCCAAGCCCGCAGCTCACAAGTTATTGCCATCTAAAGCCAAGTAAAAATTAGAGGGTCTCAGAAAAGTCACAATGAAACAGACCCACCAGCCTGGAGTGAATCTGGGGCACACCTGGACACATGCATGCCCATCAGGCCACCCGGGCCACGGCGGTCCCTGTCACCAGGGGCAGCCTACACAGCAGCCGGTGTGTGAGCTGGGAGATTTCCTGCCGACCCGGAACCAAAGAGGAAGAAGAGACCATTTCAAGTGCGGCTTACTGCAGGGTGTCCGCCAGGCTCCGGACCGGTGCTCACCTGAAGCTGACGAGGCTCAGGTCGTTCTTTTCATACGCCCGGAGGAGAAGTAAAAGCTTCTGGTCTGGGAGGCAATCGCAGGCGTTCAGGAGTTGGGTCCTTTATACATTCCCACATGGTCTTCACACACAGTTCACAACCCCACACTCACACGCTCCCAGGGGTACACACCCGCACTCACACGCTCCCAGGGGTACACACCGCACTCACACGCTCCCAGGGATACACACCCGCACTCACACGCTCCCAGGGGTACACACCCGCACTCACACGCTCCCAGGGGTACACACCCGCACTCACACGCTCCCAGG